TTGGCGAAAATCAGTGGAAATCGCACATTTTTGCCCTGAAACTTTTTTCGGGTTTTTTTTTGTTTTTTGTTCAAAATTATAGGCTTAGGCAAAAACCCTTTGTTTCCTTTATACTGGGACACCCGCATTTTGGCGCCAAATTCAAAAAATTTAGGTGCGCCTCATACCTTAGCCCCCAGATTTTCAAAGCATAAACCTCAAAGCATCAATTGCAAAAAATAACAATTTTTTATTCAACAATAACAGCGATAATCATTATTTATTTATCAACTAGGCTTTTTTGAAAGAGCATTTGAGTCAAAATTCGGACTTTCGTACTGTCAGCCAACTTATTATAATCCATATCGATTACTAGCCGATGAATGTCATCTTCTTTTGTGAATTCTTGGATTCCATTGCTCCTCAGATCTTTGAAATTCTATTTTTCGGCGATTCGAAGTTTTTCAAGTCGACTAACGCTGGAAATGATGAGGATGCTGTATAGAAAAGGATCAGGGATGAATGCGCGTCAGGTCTTGCGCATGGTCCGCAGAACACTTCGTCATTCTTGTTGCGTACTCTGCGCAACACCTTACGCGCATTCATTTTTTTTGTGTTTCTTGCTTTTTAAAACGAATTTTCAGCGGTGTTTCCCCTCGTTTTGTTAGGTTTTTCCTTCGTTTTTACACTCGAAATTCTTTTCTTTCAATTTTAAGCGCCGTTTTTTTCCAGAAAATGTCCTCAAAACTCGACGAAGCATGTCTAAAAGATCCCAAAATTATTTACTACGAATTTCGTTCAGGACTGCCGATTTTCGAGTGTTACAAGAATTTTTGTAACAGAATGGAATTAGATTCAATCAATTTTATCGAGTTTGAATTCTGGTTTCAGCGATTTTCGGCGGGAAATTTCGATTTGGATTATGATAGAAGGTGTCTGTCTGTGTGTCGGTTTGTCCAGTATAATTATCGATTTTTCAGCAAGGACCCGAAATATCGTACAATTACTGATATGCCAGTGGATGTTTTCCAGAAAATTTGTGAAAATTTGGGAGAAGATTATCAAGAAGACTATCGGTCAGTAAATGCGCTCCATTGAGAAATTTTGAATGTTCATATATTTTTTAACGATTTCAAATTCAAAAAAACGAGCATTTTGGAGATCGAAAAATTTTAAAATTTTCAGATTCGTCTTCCGCCACGTGTGCAAGTCCTTCCGCGCTCTAGCGGACTCTTGGATTCCGACCTTCACAGAGATTTCAATTAAATCAAAATCTGATGCAATTATTGTGAAATTCGATGACGAAGAAATCGAATATACGGATGGAAATCGTGCAATTAGTGATTTGACAAGCATTCTCGCTTATCCTGACCTCAAATTTCATGAATTTGAAT